GAGTCTCTGTCGCCCAGCCTGGAGTGCAGTGGCGCGATCTCGGCTCACTGCAACCTCCACCTCCTGGGTTCAAGCGATTCTCCTGCCTCTGCCTCCTGAGTAGCTGGGACTACGGGCGCGCATCACCATGCCCGGCTAATTTTTGTATTTTTAGTAGAGACGGGATTTCACCGTGTTGGCTAGAATGGTCTCGATTTCTTGACCTCGTGGTATGCCCACTTTGGCCTCCCAAAGTGCTGGGATTACAGGCCTGAGCCACTGCGCCCGGCCCTAATTTTTTTTTCCCCCCAAAGAGACGGGGTCTGACCTTGTTGCCCAGGCTGGTCTCAAACTGGGCTCAAGCGACATTTCCGCCTAGGCCTCCCAAAACGCTGGGATTGCAGGCGTCGCGCCCAGCCTGGGTGAAATAATTTGTACAACTTAGTCCTGTGGTAGTTATTTTAGCTTATTTACCTCATCGGTGAAATGGAATAACTTCCACCTGGTACACACTCAATAGATAAGAAATAACGTCTGTAAAACATTGAGTACCGCGCCTCTTAGGCTTTCTTAAGTGGAAGCTATCATCTGTCATTAGCTTTCCCTGACCCAGATGCTACACGCTGTGGGCCAGCAAGAACACAAGAAGACGGCTTCAGATAAGGGGAGAATGGCTGTTAAGGGACAGTGTTCCATTAATGGCACACACACACACACACACACACACACACACGGAAAGCAGCTTAAAAATCCTTTAAATGTATCCTTAAATATTCAGTTTAGGGATCCACCTCTCCTTTCTCCTGACCTGTCAGCCCTAATTGACCAGCTCCTGCCGCTGCCTTCCTTTACCCAATTGAAAAAAGCTGTGACTGCCCAAGCCTGGTCCCTCCTTTTCCACTACCTTTGAGCGCCAGAAAGCTCCAGACCAAGAGCTGCTGAGGGGCGGGGGAGGAAGGGAGTCACCAAGCCGCAGCCTGGCACCTTCCTCCCAGGGCAGGGCAAATTCATGCAAACATTGGGAACCTAAGTGCCAGGCCCCAGTCTCTGACCTCGCGGAGCCCACGGCCAGCTGGGGAAGAGACTAAGCCGGGAAACACGAAGATGAGTGCTACAAAGACTTGAGCCGGGAGCTACTAGAGTATCAGGACCGACTTCCTGCAGAACGGTGGACTTCCTGCAGAACGCTGGAAGGGAGAGTCGTTTCTGAGGAAGTGACTTTTAAGCTGAGGGCTGAAGTGTGACCTGAGGGAACTGCTCTGGGCCACCGGTCGCCGCGCGGCCCCTCAGGGCCTGGGACCCGGAGCCTGGACCGAAGCTGGGCGGGAAGGCCCGAGCCAGGGGCGGAGCCACCTCGGGAGCTGGAGCCGGAAAGCGGAAGCCGAGGGCTGTTGCCCGGTGGTCGGCGGAGCGGCTGTCGCCCAGCTCTCGGCAGGCTGGGTCGCGGCAGCCCGGCCCGGAGAAGACCAGCGCCGCCTCCGCCTCCTCCCCGGCTCCCGGGCCTTTGCACCTCTCTTTTCCAGCTGGGCACAAAGCCTTTTGCTGTCGCCGTGGCGACTGGCGGCCTAGCGAAGACCTCCTTCGCTTTTAATCCCGCTCATTTTCCAGTTCATTCTCTGCTTATTTTCTGGTCAGCTTGTGACCCTGTAGGTCGGGCTCGGACAGGCGATCGATTTGCTGCCCTCAGGGCGCTGGGCGGCCTGCGGCCTCCGAGGCTGGGGCGGCCTCCGCGGTCTCCATGGTAACGGCCCCGCTGACGTCTGCGCCAAGGGGGGAAGATGCGGCCTGCCGGGCCCGCCGCCTCGCCCCCGACCTCACGGTGGGACCCCGGCCACTGAGGACGAAGGTCCCGGGCGCCGGCTCGCAGGGCAGCGGGCAGCAGGTGAGCGCCCGACGCCGGGGAGCGAGGGAGGCGGGTGCCGGGCGGTTCCAGCAGCCGCCCTGCCCCTCCCCCGCACCCACGAACACGCTCGCCCGAAACATTGCAGAGGTTTCACCGGTCGCCGCTGCGCCAGTTTTTTGGTTTGTTGTGTTTTCCCTGGCGAACTGCCGGTGGAAGAGACAGACAGCAGCTCATGGAGAGGCTGAGAGAAGCGGTTTTCTACCCAAATTGGGAGAATAACCTTCAGCAGCTGGACTCACCGACTGGTTTTCCTTCATTTTCAGTGAAATCCCATTCTCTGGCTGGAGACACAGATGGCCTCAAATGAGAGAGATGCTATATCGTGGTACCAAAAGAAGGTAATACCAATATATATATATATGTATTTATTTGTCAAGCATTCTTCCTGCGAAAAGCTGCCACAAAGAATATAATGTTACTTTCCCTTGAGTTTGGTAGTACCAGGTGTTCATGTATACTTCAACATAAATGAAAAAAAATGTACAAGGTCATTATGTCTTTTAAACCCGGTTCTGGATCCCAGAATAAGGTTTTCACGCCATCTTCCTTCTCCAGGCTACGTACACAAATGCTACCACAATGCTTTGAAAGTTTGCTTCTGATCAAACTGCTTAAAAACAAAAAAAAATGAAACCTTTATCTGCACAGCTCAGACTGGTACTATCAACTATCTTATTGAGCTGTTCCTTATCTTTTATTCCTCTCTAGTTTTTCTATTGCTGTTTTCCTTAAGAAATGGAATTATTTATTTATTTTTATTTTTGTGCTGGAGTTTTGCTCTTGTTGCCCAGACTGGAGGGCAATGGCGTGACCTCTGCTCACTGCAACTTCTGCCTCCCGGGTTCAAGCAATTCTCCTGCCTCAGCCTCTGGAATAGCTGGGATCACAGGTGCCTGCCACCACGCTTGGCTAATTTTTTGTAATTTTAGTAGAAACAGGGTTTCACCATGTGGGCCAGGCTGGTCTCGATCTCCTGACCTTAGGTGATCCACCCGGCCAGGAAGTGGAAGTATCTTTTAAGATAATATTTAATTGAGATATTTTGGTCATTGCTTTTGAACTTACTTTTAGGTCCAGCTCTTTTAGATTTTTGAAGGAAACAGAGCTTGGAAATACTAATTTATTCTAACTCTGAGAAACACAAACATTTTCCACATAGCATATTGATAATAGGCTCATGACTTTTGTGGGGCTTGACTTAATAATGTAAGGATTTCCTTTGCATCATTTATATAGACTGCTCCCTCTTTCAGATTGGAGCATACGATCAGCAGATATGGGAAAAGTCAATTGAACAGACTCAGATTAAGGTAAATTGGTTTCTTTGATTCTGCCTATGTTTCACTGCGTTAATGTGAAGAATGGAATTGTACTTACCTGGTAAACTCTACACTCATCTGCCAGTATGGCATTCTTTAATCTTTGAAGATTATAAGAAAAACAGTGCAAGCATAATGAGAAATGACACTTGATTTTTGGCCTCACTATCAGGAAAACAGGAGTGAGTGAGTTGGTCTATGATGAATTAGAGAGCAAATGTTCCATATAAATAGGGCTGGGGTTGCTTAGCTCTGGCCAGTTTTTACCATATAGCAGTGCAGGTCCAGATATTGCCAGAGTCTCAGATTTTTCAAAAGAAGCTGGAAATACACATTTTTGTATGAAATATATTGTGCATTTTATGTCGGATTTTTCTTTTTCCTCCTCCTCTGCAAGCCAAATAAAATCCATTTGTGGCCTGAATCCAGCCTACGGTCCCTGGTTTTTTTCAATCACTGGTTTAGAGTATGGTTTTAAGTTTTTCAGGTTCTTAAACTTTTTTCTACACAGCTCTTAGAACTGAGAGGATTCTTATTTTATACTAACCAAGTCTAAAACCTGATATGTAATTCAGAATGCCAGTTGATTAACTTATAATAGGGAAGGAGACGGTTAAATAATCTGATATTCCAAAGTCAGAGTTGTGAGGTTAAGCCATTTGGGGATTCGGGTACAAATTCGCCATGGAATGGTTGCTTGGTAACCAAATGTAATTGGATAGTCCTGAGATGTGTAAAAGCCCTAAAGACCCATTCTTGGCCCTCAAGAGAATGTACCTCTCTGCCGACTTTAATACTTACTTAGATCTTATGGATTCAGGGCCTCACTTCTTGGAAAGTGCTAATAAATACCAACAGATTCTTGGTTTTGGACTCTTTTAAAAAGACTTGCTTCAGATCCTTCATTAATACTTAAAAAAAAACTGGGTGAATATAACTTAATATTATCTGTTCTGTTAAATAGGCCAATCAAGTAGAAAGCTACTTGAATGACAAGTAGCTGACTAACTTTTCACAATTTTGTATACTCCTTGATTATTTATATTAGTGGGAGGTGGGGTTAGGATGAATAAGTCCCCAGATTTTATTTTGTAACTCTCTAAATCCTGTCCTGTTATTTTTTTGAGTTGCTAAACATCATTAATAGTAAAGTAAAATTTGATATTGTTTTGTGATCTCTAGCCTTGTGATCTAACCTTCTTCCCCTAGCCAATTTAAAGATTTCCTTCACTCTTATTTCCATACGTTCCTTTTAGTGCACCATATCACAGTTATTTATTAACCTGTGTGTGTTCATAGGCCTCAAGGGCAGGAAGTGTGTTTGTATTCCACTCTTAGAACATCTTGATTCATACTAGGACCTCTGTCTGTTGTTATATTTAATTGAACCTTATCTATCATGCATATTTTTACTCGTTCTCTCATAGGGTAATCTCCCTAACCATGCCTTAATGTATGCTTTTAAATTTAGCAGCAGTGGAAAGAATGAAATTTAAAATAACTATAAACATTTACCGAGCTTTCAGTGTGTGAGTAGAAAGCTGAAAAAAGAATTACTGAGCTAATGTGCAACACATGTACTAGGTGCTGAGAATACAGTGAAAAAGATGGATGTGATTGTTACCATCATGGCTTTCACAGTCTGACTGATAGTGATGGGAGAAAAGCCAAAATATCTTTTTAATATGCTTAAGTCTTCAACAATGACCAAAGTATAGCATGCAAAAAAATTTAATGCTAAATTTAAAAGTACATTAATACATATACAATTTTTGAAAACAAAAGAATGAAGCAGAAAGAAAAATTTTAAAATAAAAATATTAATATATCACGGTACTGTTATGCAAGTAAAATTATATATGCAAAAGTATTCAGAATTATAAAAGACATAAATTTTAAAGATCTTGGATTATGAAAAATGGTATGAACTCTTCCATAAGCATTTATTGAGCTACAGTGTTTAAGGCATTTTGTTAGGTGCTGAGCACAAGAGGAAAAGTATTAACAAACAGAAGTAGAAGACTGTTTAAGGGAAGAGCAAGTAGCCCAATATGATTGGAGAATAAGCTACATAGATGGAGTGCTAGGCTGTAAATTTGTTTGGAGGTTACTTGACTGCTTGACTCAGAACTTTAGATACTATTCTGTGGAAAACTGAAAGGTTTCAATGGTTTTTGAGTAGAGGAGTCACATCGTATCTTTGTTTTTGAAAGGCAGAAATAAAAATACAGACATTATAGTAAAATCTGTGGAATATTTCCAGAGTAGTACTTATTATTCTCAATGTCTATATTAACAAAAAATATCTAATTTGACTAGGAAGGTTTACAGTGTATCATATTAATATTAAAGAATCTAGAGAAAGAAAATAGTGATCAATCAAAGCAAAACAGGGAAAGAAATGGCAAAAATAAAATGAATGCATCCAATACATATTTATTTAACAAATATTTGTTCACTGCTTACGTGCTATGTGTTAGACACTAGCTATGCCTACATAATGATGAGTAAAAACATTCAATACTTTTTGTTTGTTTGTTTGTTTTGAGGCAGGGTCTAGCTCTGTTACCCAGACTGGAGTGCAGTGGCACAAACATGGCTTACTGCAGCCTCAACCTGCTGGACTCAAGTGGTACTCCCACCTTAGCCTCCTCAGTAACTGGGACCACAGGCATGCACCAACAGGCTTGGCTAACTTTTAATTTTTTTGTAGAGACAGGGTCTTGCCATGTTGTCCAGGCTTGTCTTGAATTCCTGAGCTCAAGTAGCGCTTCCACCTTGGCCTCCTAAAGTGCTGGGATTATAGGCATGAGTCACTCTGCCCAGCTGCATTCAATGTTTTTTTTCATGGAATTTATGATGAAGTAGATGAGAAACAATAATAAAAATAATCCTTCTAATAAATACAAATTGCTTTGTGGCAAATACTAAGAAGAGAGCTATTTGCAAGCTACTACACTTATAATAAGATAAATAAATGAGCCTAGTTGCTGGGCAAGGTGGCTCATTCCTGTAATCCTAGCACTTTGGGAGGCTAATGTGGGAGGATTGCTTGGGCCCAGGGGTTTGACACTAGCCTGAGAAACATAGGGAGATTCTGTCTCTACAAAAAATAAAAATAAAAACTAGCTCGCCATGATGGCATCTGCCTGTGGTTCTAACTACTCAGGAGGCTGAGGTGAGAAGATTGCTTAAGCCCAGAGGTCTAGGTGACAGAGACCCTGCCTCAAAAAAAAAAAAAAAAAGTCCTGGCATGGTGGCTCATGCCTGTAATCCTAGCGTTTGGGAGGGCCGAGGCAGGCAGATTGTTTGAGCTTGAGAGTTCAAGACCAGCCTGGGCAACCTGGTGAAACTCCTTCTCTGCTAAAAATACAAAACTTAGCTGAGCATGGTGGCACGCATGTGTAGTTCCACCTACTCAGGAGGCTGAGGCAGGATAGTCACTTGAGCGTGGAAAGCAGAGGTTGCAGTGAGCGAGATCACATTAACCTAGTTAAGAAGGTCAGATAAGCTTTCAAAAAGGAATTGATGCTTAAAATGAGATCCGAAGCATGAGTAGAAGTTAATTAGGCCAAGAACAAATATACTAATTCTACACAAACTTTTTCAGAAAATAGAGAAGGAAATATACTTATCAGCTCATTCTGTGAGACTAGCATTACTGTGATACCTAAGCCAGATAAAGACATCATAAGAAAATTCATTGTGAATGTATGTGTGAAAATCTTTAACAATATATTAACAAAACCAATTCAATAACACATAAAATGGTTTATCTACTGTGATCAAATGGGAGTTATCCCAGGAATGCATTAATTTGAAAACAAAGTAATATGCCATATTAATAGGATAAAGGACAATCATATGATCTTTTCAGTAAATACAGAAAGAGCATTTGATAAAATTCAATGCCCATTAACTATAAACTAGGCATAGAAGGGAACTTCCTCAACTTATTAAAGGTTGTCTAGGAAAAGCCTACAACAAACATCACACTTAATGGTTAAAGACTGAATGTTTTACCCTAATATCAGGAACAATGCAAGGATATCTGCTCTTACCATTTTTATTTAACACTGTATTGGGAGTCCTACCCAATGTAATAAGCAAAGGAAAAGAGATGAAAGGCATTGAGATGGAAAGGAATATAAAAATGCCTTTACTCATGACAACATAATCCAGTATTTAGAAAATCCTACGTATATAAAAAAATTATAGTAATGAATGTGGCAAAGTCTTCAAATACAAGATCAGTATACAAAAATCAGTTGTATTTCTATATACCAACAATGAGTAACTAAAAATACAATTAAAACAATTTTATTCATAATAGTATCAGAGAAAATAAAACATTTAGGAATGCTGACATAGAAGGTGTAAGACCCATACATGGAAAACTATAAAACATTGCTTAGAGAAATTAAAGAAGGTCTAAATAAATGGAATAACATTTCATGTTTATGATCTGGAAGATTCAATATTGTTAAAATGTCAGTTTTCTCCAAATGTATCTATATATTCAAAGTAATCCCTTCAAAATTCCAGCAGACTTTTGTTTCTGGTAGAGATCGATGAGCTAATTCTCAAATATATGTATATAATGCAAAAGATGTAGAATATTCAAAAAGAGTAGAGTTGGAAGATTTACATTACAACATCTCTAATACATCTGTTAGAACAAAATTAAAAAGACGGATGATACCAAGTGTTGGCAAGGTGATGGAGGAAACACAACTCTTCTATACTGCTGGTGGGCATGGAAAATGGAAAACAGTTTGGTAGTTTCTTAAAATGTTAAATATATACCTCTCACATGACCCAACATTTCCACTTCTAGGGTATGTACCTAAATTTAGGATATCTACTATATTTAACATTTTCTATCCAATAGAAATGGAAACATAAGTACATGTAAATGTTCATAGTAGCACTATTCTTAATAGCCAGAAATAGGAAAAATCCACATGTCCATCAACTGGTTAATCAACTGG